GAGGGGCAGTAGTTGACTAAAACCTCTCCTCTAGCCGAGAAGTCACAGGACCCATTCTCGTCGTTACTTCTATTTCTTCTTTTTAGAATCAATTTATAGGTGGCTTTTTCAGTCCGTCATCAAATCCCTGGGCTCAACCCTGGACAGGCATTAGAAATTGCTAAGCTGGAATACGGTAGGGATAGAGGGAATTTCCTATGAAGCGGTGAAATGTGAAGAGATTAGTGATTCTGCAATAAAAAAAAAGGCAATTTCAAAGCAAAATGAAAAGCTAGTTGAAAAGAAAGGTTTTGAGAACCAAGAAAAAAAAAGGGATCATAGTAGGGATAGGGCTCGGGTTGAATCAAAGGGGCCTACAAAACTAAAACAAGAATTTGGTTAGCTAGGAATATGAGGTGGTAGAGGGTCAAACCCCCGGAGGAAACTTTCAGAAAGAGCGGACAAAGCGAATTAGCTTTCTTGTCTTCTCTTTACTTTTTAAACAAGAGTGAGCATATAATAATTTCTTTTGTGGTTTATTAAACAAAAATCATAAATGCTTAAAATGTTCAACTAAATTCTTATTATGAATATCAACAATGTAATCAATAATAAAGTTGTCTATAAATATGAGCAATTTATGATTCATCAATCTCATTAAATTATTACATGCAATAGTAAAACTAACAGCATAACTAACTATTCAAACCATCCAAATTTAGTCTTAAAGTTCTTTTTCCCTTCATCCCCTTCTTTCATCTTAAATTAATGATAAGCAATTTTCAAATCAATCTTACTAAATATACAAGATTCATACAACTCATTAAGAATATCATTAAGTCTAGAGATAAGATGTCTATATTATATCATACTATTGTTTATTTCATCCTTTATCAATGGTAAACCACTATAGATCTCATCAGGGAATACACAATAAAATCTAGACAATAACTTCAACCATTTATCAAAAAGTCTTACCAAGTTTTGATTGTTTTGAAATTTTAACCCAAATAAAAAAAAATCTATGAAAGTTTTGAAAAAGTTTCAACTTAATTTAATGGTCAAATTAAAAATTATACTTGTTGGAATAAAGTTGCATAATAGGACAAATTAAGCTCAAATTTGAATTTGAATATCCTATATCATCCTCAAAACTTGTAAAACAAGAAAGATATAACAACACTAGGAATAAAAGAATTGAGTTTGTTAATGCTAAAATATGCGTCTTTATACACAAGTGAAATCATAGGTATATCAAAAAAATAAGCATTCTTGATTTCGCACTATTTTGTATAGAAACTCAAGTGTTTACCTATATTTTTTACACTCTGTTCTTTTCTTATCCTTACTTTTTTTTTCTTTACTCTAGACTTCATTTGACTTTTTTTCTCCATTAACCGAATCTAAGTCTTTTCTTTGTTTTTTATTCTTTTCTTGAGGCTCACTTTATTTTCACTCTTTAAACTCACGACCTCACATGATTTATTTGTCTCATTTGCTTTTCTTTCTCTTTTCAGCTTTAATAGGTCTTGTTTAAGCCTTCAAAGCTCTTTTTTTTTATCAATTTTTTCCTCTAACAATATTGTATGAAAATAGTAATTGATAATAATTTCAAATATGCATGCTTTACTAATCATTTTTATACATATTTTTGCATAATAACCATAGCCTCACATTGTTTTATTACCATTTTAGTTTCACTTTGCTTTTTCAATTTCAATTGGTCTCCGTAAACTTGTCTATGAGACAATGATGCAAGTGTGTAAGTCCTTTCATCCTTCTCAAAAGAATTTATATTTTTAAAGTTATCATGTTTGGTCGTCCTATCAAATTGTTAAGGTCTCCCCAACATGATGTGACTTTCATGCATTAAAACTACATCACATAAAACCTTGCCTCATGCTTCCCAATCAATAATGGAGCGAAGGCTTACTTAGTCACTTTTATCTCACCATAATTCATTCAATAATTTTAACCTAAAAGGTTTATTTTGCTTAATCATACACAAGTTCAATTTACTAACAACTATAGTACTAGCTACATTACCATAACTTTCACTGTCTATAATCAAACTATATATTTTGTTTAGTATATGGCAATGTGTATGAAAGATGCTCTTTTTCTGGCTAAAAGTTTTATCCTGACCAAAACTCACATTCTTTCAGCTTTGATTCTGCCCAAATCGATCTCTATTACCCATGTATGCAAAGACATAGTCATCATTATCTTTGTAAATCCCAAGATAAATTAAAAATAATCAAAATTATGGTATACTAAGATAAAATAAGAAAAAGAAAAGAAAAGAAAATGAGGTAAAAATATAAAAGGAAAAAAGGTTTATGGTTGAAAAATGTAAATTTTTCCAATAGAAAAATTGGTCTAGCCATTTTAAGAAGCGTCTAGACTAATTTAATGAATTGGTGAGACCTTTCCTAAAAATAGTCAAATCATTTTGGATATTTTCTTTTGAGGACTGACGGGGGCAGCCAAATAAGAGAAGATAGCTTTTTCATTAGTTCTTCCTTCCTTTCATTTTAAAGGGTTAAAAAGTGATTGTTATGAGTGAAAAGAGAGGATTTTGAGAGAGAGAAACACTTTCACATTAAAAATCAAAGAGACAAAAGATTGAATTAGAAAAAGGAAGTGAAGAAAGAAGGGCCAAAGAGAGAATTTTTAGGAAAGTCTTTCTAGGTCAACTTTCAAATTTCATTCAACAAAGGTAAGGAGGTCAAAACTTTGTTGTATCAATTTGAACAAGATTTTAGTTATTTTAAGCTAAATTGACAAAAGAATTAAATTTGGATTCTTAAGATGAAATTTAGGGAAATGAAGATTTCTTGGAAATTAAGTTTTTATGACCTTTATAGGTTATTGAGGGAGTGAAACCATGAAAGAAAAATGAAGAAAAATGATAAGTAGGAAGTCTATAGAGGTCGTACATATAGAGAATTAAATTGGAATTTATGTATTTATGTTATTGTTCTTTAATTGTGTTATAAATATGTGTGTGATTATATGAATAATGATTTTGATTAAGTTAAACTTATAAAATCATAAAATCATAAGTAATTAAATAGTTGGGCCTAAAAGGATGACATTGCAAAAATTTTAATAAAAGAAGAAGAAGTTAATGAGAACTTTGAGATGAAAGATCAATGTGAGGATTAAACAATGATAACAACAAATATCAAGGTTAGAGGATCCACTAATAGTATTTCAAATAAGTATAGTATAAACTCTTC